CAAGCATTCCTTCGCACATATTCTTGATCAGCTCATCGAGCTCTATCGATTGATATATTTGAAAAAAAGTTCCGTTCCCATTTCCTATTGAAAATAAATTATTAATGCCAGTTCAGCGTCAGAAATGTTGGTAATTTATTATAATTTCTTTTTGCAACAAAATGTATTTCGACGCTTTGAAAACGACAGAAAACTACATAGAACTGAATTCTCTATCCGATGTACATCAAAATTAAAACATTTTGAGAAAGGACCAATTTCTACAGGATTTCGGACCCCGTCGTTTTCAAAATGGTCATCCATTTGAAACATGAAGTTAAAGAATAATTCTCCTCTCTTCTATCGATATCGTTCTCATTAGCTATATATAGTACTAATAATTTATTTTTGTTCAATGTATATTTATCTTTTTCTTAAAAGTATAATACAACATCCGATTATATAAAAGAAATATATTTTATCTAAGTGTATAGAAAAACTCCTAGAATCTTAATGTTCATGTCATTTTATATGTTAGATAATTTTATTCCATTTTCTCTCTCTATCTCACTCTGGATTGCCTTCTACAATTATACAATTTTTTCACATATGCATTTGATCCTATTTAAAGAAGAAGACGAAGAAAGAAAATTAAAAATGTGAACTAATAATATATAATAATCATTGTAATCCAATAATGGGAAACAACCGTGATAATTCCATGTTTTTCTTTTCATTCTTCTTCATTTCATTCTTAGTTTGTTAAAGAAATAACGAGACGAAGAAACACAAAAAAAAAACAAAAAAAAAACGAAGAAAAAAAATTATTTTTATCCCCTCTTTTTGTTCTTTTATTATTCTTGTTCATCTATGCTCTCATTTATTTCATTCATAATTTTTTTGAAGAAAAAAAAATTGTTTTTGAAATTATGGTCAAGATTGTTAGATAATTTGAGATATTTTCTAACAATATAATGTTATCATTAATGAAAAATACGACAAATTTTACAAAATCATTAGATACAACAAATTCATCAACAAATAATATTTTATTTTATTTTGTTCCATTTTATCTTATCATATTTTTTACCGGTTTTTTTGGTAATGGTTTAGTTATTGTTAGTATACTTCGTTCACATCGATTAAGAACTGTAACAAATACATATTTATTAAATTTGGCTATTGCCGATTTTCTTTTATTATTCAGTGTACCATTTTTAATTACAACTATTTTAGCAAATGGTTGGATATTTGGAACAGTATTATGTAAAATGTATTTTAATTTTATTCATATTAATCAATATGTTAGTTCATTAATATTAGCTTCACTCTCATTTGATCGATGGTTAGCTGTTTGTCATCCATTAAAAGCAATGAGTTTTAGAACACCTTATAACTGTGGAATTATTATAATAGGTGAGTTTTTATATTTGGGATAATGGAAAAAACAAAAAATCTGTTTTATTTTTTTACCTTAATTTTTTTATTGTTGTATTTTTCTAGCATGTTGGTTAATGAGCGCTTTATTCTTATCTCCGACATGGTTATATGCCAGAGTATTTTCTGATTCACCAAATATTTATTGGCGACGTTATTTAGTTCAAAAGTAAGATTTCTATTTATTCTTTATTTAATTTTTCTCTAATATATATTTTATTTTATTATTATTTTTTAGATGTATTATTGATTTTCCAGCTATTAGTCGAATACCACCAGAAATTGTATTTACCTACTATGGATTTTTTGTTGGTTTTATATTTCCTGTTACATTAATTACTACTTTTTATCTTAAACTTTTAATTCGTCTTCATAGAATTCGTCAAAAACATCAATCAGAAATAAAACAACGTTCTCATCGAAAAGTGACACGTATTGTATTAGCTGTTATTACGGCCTATTTTGTTTGTTGGATACCATATTGGTTTTTACAAATATATATTACCATTGATCCATTGCTCAGATCTCTTAAATTACCACCATTTTTTTCATCAACAACAACAATATTGAAAAGTTCACTATTAAAAGAATTAACCCATTTTACAATGATTGTTGGATATGCAAATAATAGTCTCAATCCGATTTTGTATGTATTTTTGAGTGAATCATTTCGAGAAGAATATCTTCATGTATTAAAATGTTTTACGTCTTCATCTACTAATCATAACAATGATATAAATTGGTGTAATCAACCATCATCGAAAAAGATTCACTATACAAAAAAACACAGTATATCATTAGAAGAAGCAGCAGCTGTACAAGAAGCCAATTGGACAACTAATTCTACCACAGCAGCATTTCTATCCTGCTTTCAGATAAATAAAAAGCGTCATCAAAATTTAAACAATAAAAAAGATGATTTATGTGGCAAAAATACTTATTTACTAAAATCTTGTCATAAATATACATCGATTCAAACAGCAACGTACTCTTATGTAAGTCAAAATGATTATACAAGCGATTCCCATCGATATCAAAAACACTTGTTGATTAATCCAACTGATTATTCCAACATTGAAGGTGATGGTGGTGTTTATTGTGGCTAAAATTAAAAGTGACAATTGTGATCATGGTGGAATATACATGTTAGAATATCTTATTAGAAGATATTAAAACAATTTCTCTCATTAAGGATACGAATTGTACACCTACCACATACGAGACGAATTATTCGAAAAAAAATGTCCTTACAGAAATTGAGCGGCCTCAAGCAAGTAATGGACTATGGTTTTTGTGACTAATCTTAAAAAGTGAACCTAAAATGAGTAGACTAGTCCAGAATGAGTGTATATAACGCCCATTCAGGAAACTGGCAAAATTATCGCGAACAAATGTTCTGAATACTACCACAGAACTAGTCCTAAAACTCAGCTCGACAAGGGAAGCTCCCCAAGCATCACTTCGATTTTTTCTCGATACCTAGCCAATCATGGATACTTTTTTAATGCTAAAAATGAATACGATATTCGTTCGTTTCCAGATAGTTTCTTAGAACCACTGTTCACATTCAGGGTCTCTAAAAATCTATCACAAACTTTCATTTGAACAAATTCTATTAGTATTAGAATATATAACACATATCAAGTTACGTATGAGCACAAGTTACTGGAATTCGCAAACAAGTTTTTATCGAGTTAAAACTTGTGTAAAAGTCCTAATGACCAAAAGGATTGAGAAATTGAAGCTTATATCGATAAATCTATGGTTTTTTGTTGACTTTTTACCTATTCTAATCTCACTCTTGCGGAGGGGCAAACCACTAATCTACTGTCGTTTGTATTACGCTTCTTTGGTGTTGTTTACATGACTTGCTATTTTATTTTTTCGATCTTTGCTGAACCAGTAAAACGAACATTGGCTTAAAGAACAAAATATTTTTTTTTTCATCGTTGAATACCTTTTATCTCACTTTACATAGTGATTTTAAAAACAGATTAAATTTCGTTCAACATTGTTATTATTATCTAATGTAGCACATTATACCGTTAGAAAAAGTTTCGGACGCGATCTTTTTAATTAGAAAAATATCTTACTTAAAGAAGTCCTATGAAGAACGAACGGATATCAATATTCACGTTTAGAATTAAAAAAGTATTCATAACCAGATTGGTATTGAGAGAGAATCGAAGTGACATTTGAGAAACTTTGTTTAAGAAATGTCTTCAAAAGGTATTTCTATCAGCCTGGGTTCCTCAGTGTCTCTTGATAATTCATTGTGTTGCGATGTACTGTGCGAACAATACCATTTTGACCCTCGTAACATCCATGACTTTGATTGATTCAATAGTTCAAGTTGGAACTCTTACTTAATCTTTATTACATTGAGATCTATATTTGCTAGAAATTTGATTTTGATCGACTCGGCACTAAGGAAAAAACTGTGTGAGAAAGCTTCTCTTTCTCAAGAAAAGTTGAGATTTGCCTTCTGCATCTTTGTAATTCATTTCCGAGCGCCTCGCTTGTATAACTTATATTTTTATATGGTTGTAGTTATGAACGTGTTGACTTTTCTATTCTTGCAGTTTGTTGTTGTTGTTATATTAATACAAAACGGATGTATATACTGTTTTTTCATAGATGTTTAAATATAATTTAATTATTAAAATTCAAAATGAACATTATCTTATCAAGGAATGGTTTAATACGTAGTAAATACAGCACGCAATAAATTATTCTTAGTTAACGTTACACACATTCTATTTAATTATTTAATTACAAATTTTAAATATTTCAAAGGGCAACAAAAATTCTACTACCGTATCGACAACATCTCAGATAAAAATATTGGCATTAATTATTGGAATTATAAGCATAACCGGTATGTGTTTAGCAATTGTTCTCGAAGAAAATTTCGAGAAACATTTCATTTTTTTAGGGTTTAAGTGATAAAAGAAAATTATTCTGAAAAACTTGAGATAGCAGGTTGTTTCAAAGGACTAAGAAAAATTATAACAAGAATAATCAACTTGCTTGCCATTGATCCTTCGAATATGAAATGTTTTGATTTTACTAATATTCGTGAACATTCTGTATGCTGAAGCAAACTATAGAGTTTTTGGTCTTTTAGTTTGTGTACTAAAGGCATTTAACTTAAAAATTATTGAGACAAATACAACGTAATTATAAAATCCCTTGACGTTAGTCAGAATCATAAAACATAAAATATTTGTCTGTCCACACAGACATAGAGTAACTATAGAGAGAAGCTGACTAGCTAGCTAATACTTATAGAACAGCAACAACTTCATATGGAGAATCAGATGATCTTCACCAAGGCTTTTAAGAGGTCTTCATAGGGCTTTCAGAAAATCTTCCAAATTTTTAGCGATTTTTTTAGTTTGATTTGGTATAATAAGAGCATGGAGTCCATCACTTGATAATCTTCAGAAGGTTTCTAGAAAAGTATTCGATTTCTGCTGTTTTTAGAGATCCTGGCAGGATACAATGAAGCCTTGATTTGTTTTCCGACGCTTACGAATTTATTACTCCTCTACTCGACACTAGGCGATTGATTTCGAGACGAACAAAGCGAGTCGACGAACCATGAGTAATCCTTATGTAGATGCGCTATAGTGCAGATATCTACCTGTAACTACGTCTAAAATGGATAATCATTATGCTTTAACATCAAGGAACCAAGTGAATCGAACACGAACATTACTTGCACTATTATCTTTTTCATTAACATATGATTGAAAAAGTGAACTTCTTGGTAAACGGATGTCGTTAGCCTCTTCCGTTGTTAGTCTAAAAACATGTTTGTTCAAAAAGAGAATGATGTAACATATTGCGTATGAATATGATTTATATGTAATTATCATTATAGCTGTCTTTTCCTTTGTCCTTCAAAATGTTTAGTCTAATCTTTATCTTTATGCATAAATCGCCATTAATATAGACGCAATCATCATCTGTAAACATTATTTCCGACAAGATTGTCGTCTCATTCGATCTCAGCTAACAATCTTTTTAATATTATTTACCCGTATTTTTCTGTTGAATCTTATGCAACAAAATCTCGCATATTCAGACAAGATTGAGATACTAGTTT